GCGTGGCTGCACCTCCGTGCCCGGGCTGCGGCAGCCGGGACCTGTAAAATGTCCTCTCCCTGCCGGGTAGGGATTTCCACGTAAGAAAACCTGCTTTCGCGAAAGGAATACTTGCAAATGGCCGGGACGGCTCCCCTTTATTGAGGCGTTCAGAGAATGCAAACCGGGCAGCTGAGAAAATGCTGCCCTCTTCCCACTTGAAACCTGACTGTACGGAGGGACTTTTCGGTGGCTCTTTCAGGGGGTTAAGCGAAGTTGAACATTTTTCAACTCTCGGGGAAGCGGAATGCGCCGCAGCCCGCTTTTACCTGAATGTAACTCACTTTGCACAAGCAGAGTGCTTATGAGGATGGCTTTCCCTGGGGTCTCCTAACTTACTGCTTGCTTGTACTACACTAATATCCTTGATTTGTTGTCTCAACTTGGATGCTGAAGGTCAAATTGTTTCCTTACGTGAAGCTGTAATTAGATTATATGCGTGCGTGTGTCTGTGCATATGCACCGCTGTATGTCGACCGTATGTGGTTACTGGGCCCGCATCGTTTTCTAAGAGACCTTATTTTTAACCTCTTCCCCCCTTCCCTCTAACGCCAGGTATTTACCCATCCTCTGTGCAAATGTTAGCGGTGCAGGACGTGAGAGCTCCTCATTGATTATTACAGTGCAGAAAGGACATACTTTAAACGCGGAGCCATGAGCTTTTTCCCACCCACCTTGCATAAAGTGCATTCATGTGAAATATTTGGAATGCCTTCCTTTATGTGCCTCTGCTCGCAGCCGAGCACGAGGTGGGCTGCGTCCCTCCGAAATTTAATCGTGACGAACTGAGAGGGGGGAAAAAAAAACCCCAACGAATTAGAAAAAAACAAAACCTGGAAGCTTTTACAAATATTGGAAGTCCTTTCGATCACATACGCCATGATGGTGAACACAGTGGCTTTGTTTGCACTTCACGTTTAAGGTTCGGCCGTATATTTTTGTGGTGTCCCCTGCGCCCTGACACTTTTGGGCTTTTCACGGATGAGGAGGTTATTTTCATGCTCGGTGGGTGCAGGACCTGGGTACTCCTTGGCGAGCAGGGTTTTGCAGTTTGCTATTATCAGTGACAATAATGTAGTCATCATTTCATCCCGAAGCTGGCTGTGGCGTGTTTCCTTGAAAGCTTCCTACATATTGTGTACCATGCCCGGTCCACATGATCCGAGGTTAAACTTTCACACGACTCCAGCAACACGATTATATTTCTATTATGCTTAACGTCACTTATCATATTACCAGACAAATTAATCCCGATTGCAATTCCTTCCATGACTGAGTAGGTTCAAATGAAAAGGGAATCCTACCGTCACGACAGTGCCGTGCACCGGCCTAGTCATCCTCCTGCTGAATCTCTATCGTTTTGCCCCCCACAATCAATGTCTTTTTGAAAGATTTTTGTGCCTCAACACACGGTATCAGCAAGCCGGGGAGCGGGGAAAGGAGGGGGGATGCGGATCTTCCACGGGATTGTAATCAGCGCAAGAATGGAGTGGATGAGATGCGATCTAGCCAGGTTATGAATAATATTTCCACGTGCACCTGGGGGAGTGTGAGAAATGTATTTAACGTAAAAACCTTCCCAGGGATAAATCACTGACCGCTCTTTCTGCAGGACATCGGGGTCTGCGGGGACAACGCACGTCGCTTGCTCGGAACGAGCACTTGGCCTCTAAGTTTTCCTTATCTCGGGGCTTTGTCTTTTGCGCAAAACCCCGCGTTGACACACAGGGCAGGGGAAGCGGGAGGAGAAGCTGGCCGGGCAGGGCGCTCCCGGTGCGGAGCCGGCTGCGCAGCCGGGCGGGCACGGGGCGG